AATTATAATAATAACCTTCTCTGTACATGCCCTTATTATTTTTTTTTCACTTAATATATATTTCTATATCTTTGGTCCAGGGAAGAATGGCTTAAGTCAATATCCGGCGATATTTTAATTTTTTTCCTATTGTGTTATCTTACGCTATTTTTCGCGCCCTTTATTTATTTAATTTTTTTTTTTTTTTTATCCAAACGGCACAACTGTACGTATATTCTAGCACATTTGATACTTAAAATTAAAATATCTTACTTGACGATTTTTTCAAGGTTCGATAATGTACTTCAATTTTTTTTTTAAACCGTTAAATTTATTTTATACAAGTGAAATTGAGTAAAGTGAAAAGAAATTCATTTTTTTAACTCCATCATTAAGTTAAAACTGAATTGTTGAAAAAATTAATTAAGTCAATGTTAACTTTGTTAAAAATTACACATTTCACATTTTTGCTGGAAATCGAAATACCTTAATGGGAAAGTTAGATCAATGGTCTCCAACCATTACGGGGTAGCCGATATTCTTCGTTATCATGTGCAATATCCAGAAGACAATAAAAAAAACACAACATAACTTATTACAGAATTTAATAACTATAGTCGGAAAAGTTAAATGAATACATACTTCAATGATGATATAGATTTAGATGTGGGACAGACATATTAAAATTTCGCTATACATACCGTAAAATGGAATGTTAACATTTTTCAGAAAAATATATCCATGGCTTTATTATGTATCCCACACGCTCCCATTATTTTGTTGCGCTAATCGCTTTTTTGAGTTTTAAATAACGGGAAATATTATTGGTCATTATTAGTATTATTTAACAAGTGGACAATAAAAAAAAAAAAAACTATGGACATTTTCCTTTGACCGCAGTGTAACTTAATTGAAAATATATACGCAGTTGCCATGAAACCAATACGTTACATATACCAAAAAAATAAGTTATTAAATTGAAAGTTCATCATGTGAAAATGTAACTCGTTAATATTAAATTAATTTCAACTTTTAACTCGTTAATACCCCGTCTTACTTTTTGTTTGGCGAAATATGATTAATATCCTCTTTATAATATATCAATTATGCAGTTTAACAATAGTTCTCAACATTTAATTAGTTTCTATTGAAAATGATTGACTTAACCCGTTCTTCTCCGGTATCAAAGAAAACATATATATTAGGAAATTGTTTTCTTCCGGTAATCATTGAACGTGTTTTATCTTTGAACCGATACGTTTAAGAAAGAAAAAAAAAACGATAAATATATGATATATATTATTATAATTTAGAAATAAAATATTGTGATGATTATAATAATTATCTGTACGACTGGTTATACTGGCAGAAAAAAAAAAAAAAGAAATTGACACATTATAAATTATTATGTAAGTAATTGGTATAGAATATAATACGTTACTTACACACACTTAAAAATTTCAGAACAAAATAAATAAACGGTCGAAGAATAAAAACCGTATAAATCAAATCGAAATTCATAGCTGTATCGTTAGTATACGTTTTTAATGATCCGCGTATACCTATAATATACACCTATATATTTTATTATGTCAAATACTTTTTATACCTGTCGTTTTTATTCTCCTATTGAAAAAGTCCGTTTGGAATATTATACTCGAGTTGTTTTCCACGTGTCGCGTGTATTATTATCATTTTATTTTTATAATATTTTCGCCCATATCAATTTTAGCCGTTATCGTGGTTAATATACAATATATAAACACACAAATGATTCTATGTGAAATTTCAAGTTACATTGAACGGTATCGCTAAACACATGCATATTACAATTTAGGTTTGTTATCAAAATATTATGAAATACAATTGGTTATGTTAATAACAGTACAATTTGAATTTCTTTTTATGGTAAAGAGTTATTATACCCATACATTTTCGTAAATCAAGTGAAAATCAGTATGGACAAAATCAACCATAAGATACTGTATAATAAGAGATAAGTGCCGAAAAAAAAAGATATAAGTGGGTATACGTTGAAACTGTTAAAATTAAAGAGTAATAAAATACACATATTTTATTTTTTTATTAAAATAGAAAAATTTACAATCTGTAACAAATTATGTACAATAAGCAAATGCACGGTGAATTTTCTTACACGGTGCGTAATCAATATGAGGAAGGAAGCTGTCCAGTAACCCTCAAGGTGTACATTTAAAATTGGGGATTAAATAAATCCCTGTACCGCCGTCTTTTGAATCGACGTGAGGATTTTCCGGAATGCTTTCTCCGCCTTGTATGGAAATGAATGGAGTGGTATGATTGGAGAATCTTGAATGGAATTTTTCGTAATGGTTGAACGCTATTGTGTTGGTGGTTTCGATGTTCGGGTCTTTATGCAGTGATTTGTTTGAAACGTATCAAGGGGCAGAGGTTATTAAATGAAGCGTAATGGATTGGAATGTCTGAATTGACTGAATTGTCCGGATTTCGGATGACAGCCCCATATCGGCCATATCTGTATCCCATATGCCCAAATGAGCCTTGGCATCGATTTATAAACTATATTTTTATTGTTAAAGTGAAGATTTAATTTAAGGATAGGTGTAGTTTACTATTTAGAATTTTTCTTTTCGATCATAAACGAGGGCCCCAAGTGAGACGTTTTTCTAAAATCAGGCAGTACACAAAGTAAAACAAATTTCTAAAATTAAAAAGAAAGTATGCAGTTTGATAGTGAAAAATATTTTAATTTCTGTTTGAAAAGGGAAAAAATTATATAATTTATGACAGTCATAAAATTACATAATAATATTATGTTTTAATTATTTAGAATAATTGATAAAATAATATATTTTTATACTTTGATACAGCCGTCCGAGCTATCTTAGAAAATTTTGGGGATCGAAAGAAATTTTAAAAATCTAAGTAGATCGAAAAATTAACACTATTCAAATCTGGTAATATAAAAAAAAAAAATGTTTCCATTTATGAAAATTTAAGGTTTATTCACGCCACAAATAAGGTTAACATTTTAAAAATAGATTAAAAACTTACACGCAAATCTTTGGTCCCAGAGAGGATTAATTCAATTTTTGGCCTTTTTTTTTTTGTTTCTGAGTATAACGAAAAAAATGTATTTTTTTGTTTGTACGTTTTAAGTTTTCTTCCAGATATATTGCTTTAATCGAAAAATGACAAGAGACCTTTTTTTGATGAATTTAGGATCTAGTCGGTGAGTACCAAAGTCGTTTTATGATTTTCTATTCAAAATACTACATACTTTGAAACTGTACAAAATTGACTTAAGCCCATCTTCTCTGGGACCGAAAAGAAATTATTCTGTCACTATCGATTTTTATAAAAAAAAAACCTCCATTTTAGTCTATATATCCATCCGGTTGAATTATTACGCGCTGTAATTTGAGCACAAAACACACTGCAAGCCAAGGACGCCTCCCCATAGGATAATTTTCAGTTGAGGGACAAAATGAAACTAGATTCCGAAACTCACTTGGATACTTTATTAGTTTTCTAGGGGGGACATGTCCCCCTCATGCCCCTCCCTAATGGACGCTCACGCTGCGGGCTATGCATTGCGACGAATGTTCGACGTTTCCTAATTGTGCACAATATCTTATTAAACATTACGCGCGTATTACCTGCAGATACTACCTATACCAAAAGCGTTTTACGTACAGTAAATTATTAGATTGCAGTTATTATTATGATGCAAACGAAAAAAAAAAAATGTCCGTCAAATATTTGCCGACTTTTAATACCGATGAGAAATTCCCGGGGTGCGCGCCGAGTAAATAGTACGCACGCGTGCACATGTAATGTACCTATACCTAACTATATAACGCAATAACATAGTGTACTTACCCTTAAGCTTTCGGAACGGAACTAAGACCGCGGGGGGAAATAAAAAAAAAAAAAACTAAACAAAAAAATCTTTGCGGTACACGATAATTTTATAATGACGTTACAGCGCATAATAAATTATAATGTCGGTACGATTTTTACGTTTCGTTAAAAACTCTAAACGTATTATATACCTATACAGTTATACCGAGACGGGCGTTATTATAACCGTCGTAATAATGATACGGTCCGTCGCACGAATTCTCTTCTACACACACACACACACACACATGCATACTATTGAAACTACGCGTATACACATGATAACGTATTTAATTGTACGTATAAAATATACAAAAATATTATTATACGAGTGTATATTATAATATGTATGATAGTATTCGACGGATCGTGTGTTTCGAAATTTTTTTTTTCCATTTACTTAAGAATCGGCGGTTAGGTTAGGTTAGGTGTACGAATATATTTATACCTACTATATAGCTACGGGTACCTATTTATACCGTACGGACGCGTATAATAATATCATGATTGGCGAACAACTTCGATAAAAATATAATTGCTCACGTATATTATTATTATCGCGTCGATCGTATTATACGCATGTAATATTACCCGTGTGATTTAACGGAGTCACGCCGATGATCTGTACAGTATTATGATAGTCCTGTATTATTGCTGGTCCAGCATCATTGAATACGTATATGTACCCAAACGCGCGTGTGTTAAACGATGTGAGTACTAGTGATGATCGAAACAAGACCAATAATTTCAAAATCTTGGTCTTGGTCTTGGTCTTGGTCTTGCGCAAGACTTTTGCTATTTTCACAAAATGTGTAAAAAAAAAAAAGTTTATTTTAAGGCGTATTATCAACAGACTACAAGTCCATGACGGTAACGACGTCGTTATGATGTATAAAGACACTAGTTTAGGTACACAAAATCTAATACGGCAATCACATCACACAAACTATGAACAAAACTAAAAATATATTTACAATAAAGACGACACCCACCGTATTGGCTTTTGTTATACTGATTCCAATTATTTCCAATCTTTTGTTCAATAATTCGCCATTTTTTCGAAATACCGATAAAATTTAATGACAAGATAATATCTTATTATTTTCGTTATAAATTATTTAATTAAATATAGATCCACTAATGTATTTTCTGGAGAAAACAAAATTGTAAGAGTCTTTGTATTGCTTGGTTTGTTTTGGTCTTGGTGTTGCAGCGTTGGTATTGTTTAAGTCTTGGTCTTGCAAACCTAATCTTGGTCTTGGTCTTGCTAGTGTCATTTCGGTTTTGGTATTGTAGCAAGAGAGTATTACGAGACCGCAAGATCAAGACCAATTTTGATCATCACTTATGAGTACACGTGACCGAAAATTTAAACTTATATGTATACATATGTATACTATACCAGACTAAAACGTCCAAAACGCCAAAAAAAAAAATTGTTCGTATTTATATTTATTATAATAAATATAACGGTTTAATATACAAACATTAATCATTTGACATTCTCGCCGTAGCGACGAGGACTGTATTGGTTTTACTAGGCTTTGCATTTTTTTTTTTTTTTGGTCACCCATATAACTTTTCTGCCGGTTTATAGGGGCGTTGAGGAGACGATTTTTCGATATCCATTGTAATATTTTCCTAATCATTGGGCGAAAACAAGAAGTTTACTGCGATTATAAAGGTTTCATTATTTTCGATTTGGTTCGGATAAAAATAATCGTATAAATTTGACATTTTCACGGACCATTATTATATTAGCTTCTTTAGACGTGGTAACATTGACGTAGTACATTTTCAATACATTTTGGCGGTTTTTGAGCTATTTATAGATAATTTAAAATGTTCGAATATATTTAGTTTATCTTTATATAGTGTTGTACGCGAGTAAATTGTTTTGAGATTGATTATTAGTTGTTCTTATGACACTATATACAAATATCGAAAATCTGCAGTCACTTTTATTTTTTTTAAGCGTTTAAAATACGAATATGTATGAAAATCGTAAATATCGCGGCATTTCAAAACATGTTTAAACGAACATTACTTAGAATGGTTTTTCATTAACAATATTTTATATAAATTAAATTATTCTTTATACGTTCCAATAATATATCCTAAACCTTCTAGGCATTTGTTTTTCGACATTTTATTACAAAGTTTAAACTCTGTCGTGATAACGCGACATCACTTGATTTTTTTTTTATTTATCGTTTGAAATTGCTGAAAAACAAAGTAAAATATCGTTTATACACACATTATCATTACACATAATTAATTATATCAATCGCAGTGGTAAATTGGCCCAGGTGGAGCGTGGGAGAAATTCACGGGGGCCACCGCCGTGAGAGGCTCCTTCGTCATTTAACACGGTTTACTTTTAATAAAAAAATATCAAATTTTTTGAACATACTGAAAAAAAAAAATTTTTTGGGCCGTTCAATCTTCTTCACCCGGGCCGAAGTACTCCCAGTCTGCCCCTGTATCGGTTATATTTTATACACGCAACACTTATATTATTCCGTTTAATATTTTAATAATCGCCGGCTCGTTGGTGAAAACTGCAATATATTATACTTAACGTCCTATATACGCGTTCCACTCGAAAAAAATAAACAGGGCACGCTAAAACTCATTGCATAATGTATTATACGTACGTGGAAAAATATCATCTAGTATAATCGTTTTATTTCGTTTTCGTTTTGAACGTACGCGACGACGTTCCGAGTCAATGGGAACGTACGAGGGAGGTTAGGGCTAAACTAACATACGTGTGGGGGGTTGACCGTTATTTCGGCATTTTTGGCGACTATAGTACATAGATGAGTAGGTATAGACAAAATATTATAATCGTCTATACACGCGTCTATACATCGCGGTTACGTGAAGTATTGCATTTATTTCACCGCCTGCGTAGACATTGTGTAACTACGGTTTATGATACAACACGGTGTGAGGTATGGGCGGGCGACTATTTTTTCTACTTTTTTCATTCTACGTTTCCCGCGGTGTGTGTGTTTGAAAATTATTATTGTGACATCATCACGAGTCGTCTTCGAGCGATCATTTCCTCGTCCACAACGTGCAGCACTACGCTGGTTTAATGCTTATATATATATATATATGAGGTACCTATAATTTACAGCACATGTGCATCGCCGAGTGCAGTTAATCAAAATTGCACTGCGCTGGTTTTTTTTCTTCCACATAATAATATGACGGTTATAGTATTATTATAATGTTTATGTACGTGGGGCACGACTATATTATAACATAATGTTGCTCGCGTGAACGCCATTAACAAAAGTGAACTTGGTCAAGTGAACTCCGCGGGACGCACGGTAATAATCCTCGCAATAATTGGAAATTTATTACGATATCGATGCGTGTATAACATTATAAATAAATACGATGAAACAAAATTAACAATTTCGCGTCCCAGAACGTTATTCGTGTATCTGTATACGCGGCATAATGTTACATGAATACCTATAATGCTGTTGTACAAAGCGAACAGAACTCATAGTTGAATGACGGGCTTAATAGTGTTAGATTTGTACAACGCGGCAAAACGCCCCATAAACGGGCATGAATTGGCCTCTTTTCGGATTTTAGTTTTCTCGGTTTTCTCGGATTTTTATCAGTTTTTATTAACATTAGTTTTTTTTTTTTAATTTGGTTACCTTATTTTAACCCGATTTATTAAATTGTATTTTTCCAACGGCATGTAGGTAAATTATTTTCAAATTTTAGTCGAGTACCACACGTCAAATATTCTTGCCATGCGTTTGTCCGTTGAATAATAATAATTTCAGTCTATATAATAACACTACGGTCAGTGAAGTTTTCGATCAAATTATTTACATTAACGATTTTTCGACAGTACATACATGTATCATCGACTACTCAGACAACTGTGACTTTATTCGGGATAAGCAAAGAGAAATAAGCAAATTAAAAGCAGAAATAATAGTGGAATCAGCTGAACTGGAACAAAAAGTAAAATGTCATGGAAAGAACTTTATAAAATATGATTTCTATATATGCAGTTTTTATTAATCGTACAATTACGTTTCGTTTAGTTCATGACGAAAACGATTTCGATTTGTTGGATGATATCGGTCATGTTATCAGGTCTTGCTATGGTATTTGGTACGAGTATCAATACGGTGTATTGGTTTATCAATACAATGAAATTATTACACCAGTAAATCTTTTAGATCGAGAATTTATGTATAAGTTTAGACCGGAGAAGTTATTATACCGATCCGGCGATTCAAAACCTTTTACAGGTTTATACGTAAAAGGTACAGATGTAAATGTTAATACAGATAAATCCGTGAATAAAGTATAAAATGTATTACTCATGTCAGAATTGTTTTCTAATCGAAAAATAGTATAGAAAATTGTTAAATTTTTTTTTGCTGTAAGATAATTTATATATTTTTACTTGATATGCGAATTTAAATAGAAACTCATATATTAATTAAAAATATTCAGGTTTTTATTTCTGTATCAAATTTTCAATTATTTGATTATTTTTAATACACGTAGATAGGTATTTAAATTTTTTTCATTTAACTGCTAACACTATGTTTTTTTTTTTTTTTTTTACTAGCTGCAAAACATCGAAATGAAAGCAGTCATTTAAAATATACATAAAATAATTTTACATTTTAACTTTTATTCTAGTACAAAAACAAAAAGAACTTCAAACATCAGTTCAATCTACTTTTCAGTAACAGCAAAAAACAGCGGTTTTTTAAGAGTTATTTTTAATAAATTAATAGAAAAATTATACAAGTATTTTTTTAAACAAACATCATATTCATTTTTATACATTGTTAATGTTATTATTTTTATATTTCGCATAGGGGTACACGCCGCTATCATATCTATTCAATTATCATCAAAATGTATGCTTCAAACGTTACTTCATTCATACTTCAATTAGTACGATTGCTTTTCAATAGGCATACTAAAATTTCATGACAATGATGATTACGGTTACATATTACAAGAAATTTACACGGATTATCCCGAGAAACCGCATACAAATCCTTAGTCCACAATGATTTTTCGTTTTTACGGCACAATTCTTGTCCACCAAATTCAAAAATTCCAAAACGTTTAATATTATTATACCTATACTATTAGGTGACACAGATTATATTGTTCAATGAAGAAATGTAAAACAAGTCATTGCTAACGGTATTAATGTCACAAAAGTACATAATATTAGTCGTTTTAAACAGTTAAAATGAATGGTACCGCATATAAAATTATATACACCAGTATAATGAGAGTAAAGGTAAAAAAAACGGACATACTTCGCACGATAGACCGCTGTTGTAGGTAAGGAGGTAAGATATAGAAGGGATTTTAATGTATATCTGTACATAATGATTAATCATTGATAACAAATAACGATTCTGAGTGGAGTTCGGTAAGTAGGTTCGGTGTTATGAAAATTTTTTTTCTGTTTGGTGTAACAATTTTATCCACAGAGTATCTACCGAATGAGAATGACGTAAAATTCGCAAAATTAAAATATTTGTAAATAGCTTAAAAATGGCTAAAATGTTTTGAAAATTTTACCATTTCTAGAAAAAGTAAATAAAAATGTTTTGTCCAAATTTTAAGTCTTTTTAAGTATTTTTAGCTGAATCATAACAAAAAAACAAAATCTAAAATAATATATTTCTTTAATTTTCGTACGTTTTTTCCCGGTTATTCTTGTTTGTTATAAAAACCCTTTGGAAAAATAAAAAATGACATTAAAGTGCCACCCAAATAAAGTTTTCTTTCAGAAGAATTACTTTACACTTGAAAATCGGAGCAAGATTTCTGGTAGAAAAGTTGTTTACAGATAGTAAAAAAGGGCATACTTTGCTTGACGAGTGAGCGGTTATAGGATAGGTCAGGTTTTGGAAAGAGGTTACATTCACGAATTACTATGAGGCGGTTTGCTGTACGATATAAATAATAAAAATAAGCTAAATGTACGCTTATTTATGCGAAATTTTGCTACTAACGGCCAAATATTTAAAATAATGAAAAACAATAAAGACTGTGTAGTTTATTAAATATCGAAATAAAAATATGAAAAAAATTGTGTAGTTTTATAAGATATTTAAAACAAACCAAGAAAAGATATTTGAAATAAAAATTTGAAAAGTAAAACAAGTCAAATTCATGTCTGTTCAAGTGGTGTTTTGCTGTGTTGTAAAACATACAAATCTATAATACTAAGATATTTGAGGCTGTTTGAGGTATT